TATATATATATATATATATATATATATATATATATATATATAGAGAGAGAGAGAGAGTGAGAGAGCTTTCTATGCTTTACTACATAGAAGAACTATTCTCCCCCTCCTTTTCAACCGTTCATTTGAAATGGGTAGTTGAGATCACCCAACTAAAATATCACAAAAAAGAGTTACGGGCTGAACCGGTTCGCCAAAAACTTTCCTGGTAAAAGAGGGAGAGAGGGAAGAGTGAGAGGTAGAGCAGGGAAGAAGAGAAACCAGAGAGAGCACAGGGGAGAAGAAACCAACGATAGAGAGCAGATAAATCTTCTATGTTGTAGGGAAAGCCTCCCCTCTATTTACTGAAAACCCTCTTTCTCCTCTCTCTCTCATTCTCTCTTCCTACCTCACCCTTTCTCTCTCTTTAAACTAGCAAGAATCCAAGTAGTCTTAGAATCTCTCTCTCTCACACATTCATTTAGAGCTCCAAGCTAGAAACCTCAAAGACGTTCCAAACCACCCTAAAAAAAACTTTGTTGAATCTCCATTGAAACCAATCATTAAAAAAGCTCTATTGAAGCCAAAAGCCCCAATTATTGCGTATTTTTTCGATTTGGGGTTCGCTGGAGCTAATTAAGCTGAAAATTTTTAACACTTAAGTTCTTGAAAACCCAAAAATTGGGAAAGTCAGATTGAATCCTCAACCTACAACACTTTGTTTAAACCTTTTTGAGCTCTAACATGGGGGAATGCTCTATAATATATCTCTTATAGACTCCACCTTCTTTTCTAGTTTGCTGGTTATCTCCTCTTCTCTGCACATTTTTCCTTGATCAATAGCTTCCCCTTTTTTTTTTATCAATGGCTTCCCCTTCTCTGTACTTTTTCTTGATCAATGGCTTCCCCTTCTTTTCCCGCTTTCTCTCGCTCTCTCTCGGCTTCCCATTATCTCTAGTGCTCTTTCTTTCTCTCTCAAATGGGAAATGGGTTATTCCTTATCTCTCAGTTCTACAGGCTATTTAGATAGGGTTAATGGGTTGCTCCTTATCTCTCTCTTCTATGGGCTATTTAGATAGGGTTACCGATTGAACCCGTTCCCCCTTTTGTGACAACTTAAGTGAATTGATATCAGCCCTCCATTTTTAATCAATGGTTAAAAATGTGGGCGAGGATAGAACTTCTATGCTCTAGGGAAAACATAGAAAGCTTTCCCTAGTTATATATGAAAAACTTTATATAGAATCGAGGCTCTAAACAATCAAATTAGAGCCTACCTCAAAAATTTCACTACTGGAGGTTGTTTTGATGCCCAAATATTCTCAAATTGATCATCTCGACATCAAGATGCATAGACATGGGAAAAAAAAATGGATTTCAAGTTTTGGAGATAGTGCATCTTGTAACGCATTTTGGATATTTTAAGTTTTCATAGATATACTCGATCTACACTATTTTTGAAGCTTTAAATTTTATAATTATATATGAAAATATATATCAAGGCTATCACTAAGATTTCTAAAGAGAAAGGATGGTGTTTAGAAATGATATGTCTTTATTATATTTGTTTGGGATAAAAAAATAGGAGTTTTAAATTTTATAATTAAATATAAAAATATATTTCAAGCTATCACAAAAATTTCCAAAGAGAAATGATGGTGTTTAGAAATGATATGTCATTATTATATTCGTTTGGGGCAAAAAAATTGGTTTAAAGGGGATAAAATTAGCTTAGGGAGTTAGAAGATACACAACTTAAAATTTCTATGACCCAATATATATTTTAAAACCTTGGGTCTAGTGAGATTTAAAACTTAAAATGGGGGGTATGGAGATATTTTCCATATATATATATATATATATATATATAGTAGGAGGTATTTTGTACACCCACTAGTTGACTGCTATAGTAAACGCCAATGGCCCAGATTGAATCTAGGCCGATCTAACAGTTACGACCTCTTTTCTAATTTAAATTTTAATATTTTTTTTTTATAAATCCAAATCACTTAAAATTTTAAGTGTATATTCTTCTCATCAAGGCGCACCTAATAAAATAAATAAATAATAATCCGCAAAAAAAAAAGGACCAAAATACCCCCAATATCTTTACAAGTGTATTTTGGTCAATTTTTTCATGTGAAATATTTTTTATATATTTTTCGAAGATTCACCTATTTTTTATGTACATACGGTCCAAATTTCATATCAATTCAATTTGTAAAAAAAATTAAAATTCAAACAGTACCGGATATTCCGGATCGTCAGATCGGCCCAAATCCAATCTAGGCCGTTGACGTTTATTGTAGCAGTACACCCTTGGACTAACAGGATCCTTTATTATATATATATATATATATATATATATATAGATATAGATATATATATATATATATTGCGGTTTCTATACGGTTGCAATAGAAACTGTTGAAGTTGGGTTGCAATCATTTCCACCCTCCATTTAGACGGCGAGGATTATGCACAACACCCAAGGAAAAAAAAACCAGGACTTCCCATTGCCGGTTAATTTGACCTTTCGAAAAGATGACCGTACTGTGATGCCCTTTTCCCATTTTGGCTGTTTAAAAAGGAAGCCCGACCCTAATTTTCTCTATTCTCTGTGTAACTTCTACTCTACCCACAAATATAAGGGAAATTTTTTTTTCTTCTCTCGCTATCAACTTCTCCATCTACCCACAAATCAAAAACAAAAGCTTCTTCTCCAATGGATTCACCCATTTTCCCTAACACTCTCACTTTCTCAAACTTCTCTCTCCAAACCTCTTTAGCCTTTCGTCTTCTCTCATCCTTTATCAAAAGAAGGAAGATAATACATTTTGTTGCAGAATACTCTCTCTCTAAAATATATGACATGATTTTTCTTTAATTGCTTTATCGCAAGACGGGATTTTTCTTCATGATTGGAGTTGGTTTATCTAATGGGCTGGTGTTCTACTTTACTCCGGCTACCCCAATTAAGTAGCTTTGGCCTTGGCTAGATGCCTGCTCTGTCCTTTGTAAATTTCTTCATTCTTCTTCTTTAGTCATGAATGATTTTCAGGCTAGCTCTAAAAGGATGGGTTTTCAGTTATTCTTCCATATTAATGCAAGGTATGTTCACAACCATCACCATTCTAGAGTTCCTCTGTTTCTTTTTATCTTTTAATAGAGAGAGGTTTTATTTTCTTAGGGACCCAAATGGACCAAAATATGTAGTCTTTTTTGGTTTTTTTTGCTTTTTATTTTTATCTCAGTTAAAAGAAATGATTAAATTGGTATCGTAGGATTGATATAGATAACCTGGGTTTTCTTTTATTGACTCCATTTGGGTGTATTTCTCTTTCAATTTCTTTCTAGGTCTTGGATGAGCAAATGGATATTTGCATGTGTCTTGCTTCCATATTAAGATAATTTGTGCGCTCTATTATTGCCTCCATTTATGTGTATGACTTTTTTCACTTCTTCGACTTGGTTGAGCAAAAGGATGTATGCCTATAAATCCTCCATAAGACAAGGCCCTTTAGAGCAATATATTTTTATACAGGAATGGTAAAATATGACGTTTTTTACTTTGGTTTTCCTTCTTATTCTTTTTTTATTGTACTTAAGAATGGCCCATTATTATCACGTGATAGATTGTGAAGTAAATTTGATCCAAATGATATGGGGAACGATTTAATTCACTTATTGTGTAACCTTTTGGGAAGGGTTGGTTTGTTAGTGACCGTAAAAGAGATTGTAGTACTAGCTATGAGTGTTCATGATAGGGTAAAAACTATTTGGTTTATCTTTCTTTTCTTGCTAGATTTAGTAATATATTTGAACACAACGGGAATGGGAATTTGGGCAAGGCTGGTAAGTGATAATGCTTTTTACAATTTTGATGTCAAGGAATTCAAAGGTGGTTCCTAATAGGCATGTAAATGGTTATTTAAATACTCATTTATTCCCAAATTGTTGTTCAAATAATTCTGCTTATTTTGTTTTAATAGTTATTCAAGTAATTCTTACACAAGAAGACCTTTGTTATAAATTTCAAATGGTTAACCTAATTAGTGAATAATTCATTAATTTAGATGGGTTTGCTGAATTTTAATCTTTTCATATAAATAATGCAACTATTCACAATTAAGTTATATGCATTTGTTAAGTTGTTGTGAAGTAATTCCAATGTTTTATAATTCTTTGTGTTCAAAAGCTTTAAAAAGCTATATGTTTCTTGGTGTGCATGTAACTGGTTATTTGGTTACTCACTCATTTTAATTCCAATAATGTGTTTCTTTCCTTTGGAAGCCCTTCAAATAATTATTACATAAGCAAATTTTTGTTCTTAATATCAAGTGGTTATATATTTATCAATAGGTAATTCATTTATTCACATGGATGTGCAAAATATTTTGCTGACACTTTATGAACTAGAGAAACTTTTAATTTTACAAAATAAGAAAAAACTAAGTCATTTTATTCTGATCCTTTGTGGAGATTCATTCCAAAGGATAAGAAATCGAAGCTAAAGCCACTGATCTTAAGCCCCTCATCAACATTACCTTTTGAGCCTAACTAATAGCCCAAAGATATATGCTGGCATGAGCCTTGAAGATTTTTCAGAATTGTTCAGATGGTGGTGGAAGGCTTATTGTTACCTGCCAACTTACCCATTAGCATCAATGGCTACTCTATCCAAAGCACATTTTTCCCTTACTTGACCATGATCTGCTCATGATTTGGGCAAGATCTCAATATGCAAGTGACATGCACAAATCTAGCTTGAAGTGTCTCCTTAAGTAGTTCGGATATTCATTTGTACTCTTAAGTGTATTAGAGCTATATAGTTCATGTTATTTCCATATGGTTGTCTATAGTGTAAAATTCTGGTTTATAATCCCCAAGGGGCTGAATAAGAGCAAAGGCCAAGTGCTTCTTTTGTCTTGTGAACTCTATTATTCTTATATGTTGAATGTTTCACTTCTTTCACGTATTTCTGTTTTTTTGTTGCATAACTTACAAGAAAGAGAGAGAGAGAGACAGAGGGGATGGCCAACTACACATACCATAGCCTAAAAAAATTGTTGCATAAGGGACCTGAAATATGAGTCATGAAATAATGCAACTACTGCAACTTGAACACTAGACCCACCAAATGCTCATTTGAAAAAAAAAAATTGAACAATACAAGATAGATTAAATTCAGTAGGCACATCAACACAGTATATTAGACCCACTAATATGCTCATTTATATATTAGACCTCTGATTAAGAAAAAGTTCGGACAAAATATTCAACCTTTCGTGATTAAGAAATGCATAACGGAAGTTAAAAGTTTGCATTGTCAATTTATCTTAATGGCCACCAAAAACACCTTTGTAAAGATAAGGTTAATGTTACACCTTCACACTATAAATTGAGAAAATTGTTCAACATATCTAAGGGGATTATAATACTTGCCCTCCAACCCACCACCCCCAAAAAGTAACAAAAAGAAAAAATAACGAAATTTCGAAACAAATCAAAATGCTTTTTTGTCGTTGATCTGTGCATGGGGAAGGCAAGAGTAACTTTGTCAGACAGATGGATACCCACAGGTCATAATGAAGCGATTCTACACTTGAATAACAACTAACCATCATATCCCAGCACAAAACCAGAGCATATTATTGTTGCTTCTCATGTTTGTCATAAAATTTCTTACTTATTAGCCAATGTGACCCTTTGAAGAAAACTATGTCGAGGCCAACAATTCGATTAAAGTACGTAGTGATGCAACATGTGAGTTCCATTAAACGGAGTTCAAACTAATTCAGTAATTCCAAAATATCAATAAAATAAATCACAATAAAGACTAAAAAGATATCGACAATTTTAATTGTGTGAGCACAAGATAATTCATCTCAATATCTGGATCCTACCGCATATCAAGCCAAATACTATCCAAAATCAAAGTGAAGTTGGGGCATTTAAGGGGTGAGGCTCAAGTATAAATACTAAGTAAGAGGCTCAAGTATAAATATAAAGAAAAAACAAATAAACTAAAAGGTGGGTTTAAAATAAACATGAGGTTTTACAGCATGAGGAAATAAAAAGGAAAACAACTTCATTAAGCAATAGGTCCAAATTATGTTGCAGTAGCTCCAATACAACAAATTATACAACAGTAGGTCCAATACTTCACATCTTCTTAGCATAAACAATGACAAATTATGCAGCAGTAGGTCCAATACTTCACATCTTCTTAGCATAAACAATGAACAATTATGCATCAGTAGGTCCAATACAACACATTTAATATCTTACAAAAAAATTATCATTATCACAAGTTTGAAAACACAGTTGCTTTTATTACACCATTGTCTTAGAAGCACACCAACTTCATTAAGCAACCACACCACACCACATACACATTCTAAAGTAGGACTCTCACAAACCAAAATTACCAAAATGACATAATAGTTGAATGGCATATCACAAACCAAAATTATCATAAAAATTATCAGTAGCTTATGTTGAAGAAAGGCTATGTTTTCAACAAAATGTCATCTTCCACACTTTTCCAGGTTCTGTTTATGTGGCCTTTAAAGGCCTTAAGGGTGCTTGTAAAATGAAATAATATAGTGAAACATGAATTCAGTGGGAGTGTGGTCCCTCATGAACGATACTAAGCAAATGATATTTACTAATACCAGACTATGCTTGAAGATCTAGACCAGTCGGTTGGAAAACCCAAGGTATCTGGGCATAGAGAACAAACTGAGAAGGGTTCTGGGTTATCCCTTGATGAGGTTGGAGCCTATATCTGGATGAATGAGCCGAGGGACTGTGTAACCCTTGTGTGTGATGGTGGGCCTACAGAGACAAGGGTCAAAACCTCATCCATGATCCATCACACGGTTTGCATATCGATAGATCATTCGGAAAAGCCAGATATCCACCTTTTAAGGTGAAGCGTATGCATGTGCGAGAGATATCCCAATAAGCCATAGAGTTGTAGTCGCATAAAGTCTTAGTGACCTTGACTCGTCTCTAGGGGAGGACCTGAAATCCACAGACCGGGATTGCTACCCCTTGGCTCATCAGCCAGACTTTGGTGATCTGCTAATGAGCCCTTGCTTGGACTGTGGGTTATGGGAAAGACTGGGTCGGTCTGATAAAGCAACTGTGGTTTGTAATCCATAGTTGAAGGTGGAGTGCCCCATGATTGTTAATTCAAATCCTAAAACATAGGGATCAATTTCCTAACATATTAATTTAATTGTGTTTGTTTTATAATAGAAATTGTTTTAGAATTATTATTTGAATTTTTATGAGTCTTTTGATATTTTATTTGTAATTTTTTGACTTATAAAAATAAATTTATTGATTTTACAAACGTATAAAATTCAAATAATATTTTAGAAATTAATTTGTTAAATATCATGGGGGGGGGGGCATATTACACATGGGCCCACCATGTACCATGTGGGTGGGCCCACACATGCCATACAAGGGTGGCACGCCCCACCTCTTGGTTGTTTGCTTTATTGTCAAGTTATTCAAAGTTAAGAAGGTATACTGTGGCATGTGATCTAATATTAGATAAGGAAAGGTATACTGTGGCATGAATGAGCTGAGGGACTGTGTAACCCTTGTGTGTGATGATGGGCCTACAGAGACAAGGGCCAAAACCTCATCCATGATCCATCACACGGTATGCATATCGATAGATCATTCGGGAAAGCCAGATATCCACCTTTTAAGGTGAAGCGTATGCATGTGCGAAAGATATCCCAATAAGCCATAGAGTTGTAGTCGCATAAAGTCTTAGTGACCTTGACTCGTCTCTAGGGGAGGACCTGAAATCCACAGACCGGGATTGCCACCCCTTGGCTCATCAGCCAGACTTTGGTGACCTGCTAATGAGCCCTTGCTTGGATTGTGGGTCATGGAAAAGACTGGGTCGGTCTGATAAAGCAACTGTGGTTTCTAGTCTATAGTTGAAGGTGTAGTGCCCCATGATTGTTAATTCAATTCCTAAAACATAGGGATCAATTTCCTAACATATTAATTTAATTGTGTTTGTTTTATAATAGAAATTGTTTTAGAATTATTATTTGAATTTTTATGAGTCTTTTGATATTTTATTTAT